AGAAAAATATTTAGAAAATAATTAATTCATTAATATTATTATTATTAAAATATATTATATCAATATATAGTTATATATATATATATATTAATTAATATCTGTAAAATATAGTTAATTAATTAATATTATTATTAAAATATATTACATCAATATATAATTATATAAAAATGTGTAATTATATTAAATTAAAAAAAAATTAAATTAATATTATATAAAAATATTTAATAATAATTATCTAAAATAATTAATTAACTAATATTATATAAAATATAATGTATCCTGTACTTTCATTAATTAATTACAAAAAAAAAAAAATAAAAAATAAAAAGAATAAATAAATCAATAAAATAGAAACGAGTGACACGAATACAAAGTTTGAACATTTAACAGAGTTTACTTTTGACAAATATCTATTTTAAAATTGCATATTTTACGAACGAAAATACCTGCACAAGTATAAAGCTTAATTACAAAAGTTTCGAACAAATTATAATATAAAAAAATATTCAAAAAGAAAAATGAGAGAAGAGGAGAGGAGAGAGAGAAAGAACAACTTCACAACAGGGTGACGGGGGTTGATTATGCGCAAGCGTTTAAGTAAAAAATTTACGCATTGACCTGACTCTTTTACGTGTGTTAATAATGCGTGTGTGAGAGTGCGTGAGGCAGTAACCAGCTGACTGCCAAAACAGCTGTAGCGATATACGATGATGCATCGTGGGGTGTTCTCCTCGTTCCGTTCATATCCTTCTTTTTCTTCTTCTTCCTCCCACCCTTCTCTCTACACCCTATTTTTCTCTTTATTTCTCTCTCTCTCTCTCTCTCTTTAAATATATATATTCGTCTTTCTTGTCAGCCGATTGGAGGTGGAGGGCTTTCAAACTGACTGTGATTTAGCTTCGTATTTATGTTTCTTTTCTCGCATGTTACGCACTATGACATTTCGATTTCAATCCTAACCGTTCATCTTCTTCCTTCGCATACAAATATTATACTAAATTAGGACATCTTCCTTTTTTTTTCTTTTTTTTTTTTGACAAATATAAAAGATGGAAGAATTTTTTTTATTTTTTTTTTTTTTAAATCATTAGTGTAAATCGATTGAAATATTTGCAAATAAATTTGATGAAACTTGGTGAAAGGATTTCAAAAAAAAAAAAAAAATAATAATAATAAAAATAAAAATAACATGAAATTGTACCGTTTTAAGTATGACGTCTCGATACATTTAAATACGTTTTAAAAATACAAGAGAGAGAAAAAGAGAGAGAGAGAGAGAGAGAGAGAGAGAGAGAAAAGAAAACACGAAAAATACTCTTTACACGTTTATCGTGTCGCAAAATGCATACGTAACTCTCACAAGAGTATAAAATTTAACGTTCTCACGTTCACGAAATGTAAAGTAATACATGCGTGAATTGGAGAAAAAAAAAAGTTTCTATCTATAGACGATTTCTGTTTTACGTTCGTTCACGTGAAACGAGACTGTAACGAAAATTATATTTTGTTTTAACTTATCGCGATTGGCACGAATACATAAAAATGATCTAAAATGTGAAATCGTGTTTATGGTCAAAAAATAGAAATCAAATAAAAATATATATATAGAGTAATTCGTGTATAATAATTGTTATAATATAAGTAAAGTGTGTTGGAATATTAAAATAATTGTTAAATAATCGAAAGAAATGTGTATTGATGTTTGAAAGCTCTGTGTATGTGTTCGGAGTACCATCCTCTTCGAAATTCACCTTCAGACTGGTACGTTGACATCTATCAAAATACTTTTATTCAATGTTGCTGTATATGACTTTTCGAATGTTACGCATGTGTACAACGGTAAGAATATTTGTAATAAAGAGAATAAAGGATTATAACGTTCTGATTTTAGTATTTCTTTCATTCTAATGTAATTTTTTTATCGCACCTGTGCAGTAATGTCTCTGAAGATGAAACTGTTCTGTAATATAAGTAGAATGCATTAAAGTATTAAAATAATTGTTAATTAATCGATAGGAATGTGTATTGATGTTTAAAGCACGAAAAATATGTCAGGAGTACTGTCCTCTTCGAGATTCACCTTCAGACTGGTACGTTGACATCTATCAAAATACTTTTATTCAATGTTACTGTATATGACTTTTCGAATGTTACGCATGTGTACAACGGTAAGAATATTTGTAATAAAGAGAATAAAGTATTAAAACGTTCTGATTTTAGTATTTCTTTCATTGTAATGTAATGATTTAATCATTCCTACGCAGTAATGTCTCTGAAGATGAAACTGTCCTGTAATATGAGTAAAGTGCATTAAAGTATTATAATAATTGTTAATTAATCGATGGAAATGCATATTGATGTTTAAATGCTCGAATTATTGATCGGAGTACCGTTCTCTTCGAGATTCACCTTCAGACTGACAAGTGGTCATCTATGTAATTACATTTATTCAATTTAGTTTATATGACTTCCGAACCATAGTGCACGTGTGCAAAGGTAATAATGTTATTAATAAAGAGAATTTAAGATTATAACGTTCTGATTTTAACATTTTTTCATTCTAATGTAATTATTTTATCGCACCTGCACAAGTGATGACTACGAGGGTTAAATTGTCCTGTAATGTATGTCATGTGTATTAGAATATTAAAATAATCTTTAAATAATCGAAAGAAATGTGTATTGATGTTTAAAAGCTCTGTATATGTGTTCGGAGTACCGTCCTCTTCGAAATTCACCTTCAGACTGGCACGTTGTCCTTTATCAAAATACTTTTATTCAATGTTGCTGTATATGACTTTTCGAATGTTACGCATGTGTACAACGGTAAGAATATTTGTAATAAAGAGAATAAAGAATTATAACGTTCTAAATAATATTATATAATAAATGCAGTTATATTGATGACCACTTGTCAGTCTGAAGGTAAATTTCGAATTTCAGTACTCCGGATCATATACTCGGTGTTTTTAAACTTTAATACACATTCCTTTCGATTATTTAACAATTATTTCAATATTCCAATTCACTCTACTTACATTAGAATAATCATTTTACCCGAATTATATACAGGGTGTTCAAAAAATACCATTCAATATTTTTAATGACTCAAACAACTAGAAAAAAAAATATATACTTAAAATGTTATTTAAATAATAGAAACAACTATAAACTCAATGATACTAAACGTCATACAAAATTGATGTCACTAATTTCGATATAATTTAAAAATAAAAGAAATCAAATTACCACGCATACAAAAACTTCGTTTATAAACTTTCATAAAATATTTTCAATTCAGAGAGGTTGGTATTATCGTGGTATATTACTAGCTTGCCACTTCTTATCTTACAATGAACAAGTCCAAGCATACTGATAACGAGCACGTGTAAACGACACCCATAAGTCCTGATATTGCAGGAGAGATTTTACATGAATCTCGGATCTGATGTTTCAAAGAGAGAGAGAGAGAGAGAGAGACAGAGAGAGAAAATGTTAAACCAAGTCTGACCGCTAAGCATTATACGATCCTAAATGTGCTATTGTTAATTGTTCTACCATCATTAGATTACACTAGTTACACCAACTACGGAAATCCATGGATTACGAGATGTCTCGAATTAACTCGAATCGTTTAATTGGACTGTTGATGGACAAGACAGGAAGATACTTTCTAACCCCCTCCCCTCCCCTCCCCACCCCTCAACGATTATCTCATAATTAAACGCAGACAATATTTTTATTTATGATTTAACTAGAGAATATTCGAAACATTTGATACGAAACATATTTTGTTATTTTCAGAATTGAATGAAATGATCAAACGTATTCATTTATAAATAAATTCCATGCTTATCATATTTATATCGTTGTATTATAAATTTTATTTATTGTATGACAGTATTGAATTTGATAACCTAATCGATGTATTATACAAATTTCAATAGAAATTGACATCGTTGAGTTTGGGTTCCTTAAGGAAAAATTCTTTAACATGTTTCTTGTACACAAATAGACACTATCTTATTCCTAGAACTGTTAACAATACTAATTGGTTTCTAAGTAAATAAATAACTACGTTGTTAGATAATATAGTAAATGTTTTATTTTTGTTCTTGATACTAATGGGAAGAGTATACGTATTTTATCCTAAATCCGTAATCAATTATTCTTTTAAGTTAAGTTTAAAGGGTGGATTAAAACTAGACTCGACTTTAATCCATTTGGAAAAATGTCTGTGTGTGTGTGTGTGTGTTTTTTTTTTCTTTTAATCTTTCGTATAGTTTTTCTAATCGATAGAAAATAAAAAATAAAAAAATCTAAGAGACTTATCGAATCGTTAAAAGCAAATTTATTGAGAAAAGCAGACGCCTTGTTTGATAAAACATAAAAAAAAAAAAACTAACGTTTATGGGAAGATAAAATGAAAACACGCCCAAAAATTGATAAAACACATAATCAGTTATGTGGATGATAACATGCAATCCGTTGACTATTATTATTTATCTAAACATTTGCATTTCAATGCAAGTGGCATATTATCAATGCATTGTTTCGTACACGTACGAATATTTGCGTTCCTTTTGAAATAACACGTTTCAATATTTATTGTTATCGTTGTGTTTCAATACTCGTGACATTTAACCTTGGTATTGTTGTATTTTACGAGCTTCGGTAATTACTAAAAAGTTAATTAAGATTTTTTTCCTTATACGACAATACGAAAGTTTTTTTCCTATTCGTAGTTCAAGTGCAAGAATACGATGTTTTAAGTACGTTGACATTTGATCTTTTTGTGAATTATGCGACTTTTCTTTTTTTTCTTTTTTTTTGGATTCATAAGAATGTCATTAATCAAATTAGAGAAATGTTATTGTTGAACGTACTTAGGTGAATAAAGAAAAAAAAAAAAAAAATAAAAATAAAAAACGAACGTAAGTATGTGAACAAGAATGTGATTGATAAATGAGAATTATCACAAGATAATTATAATCATTTATTTATGCATATGTCAATGACTCACCAATGATCTGAGATCTTTCTCGTTGATTTAATTGTCTTTGAAAACTCACGTACATACCTGGAATTAAAACAATAAATTAAACGAACGTTTTATAAAATATTTTTTATTTCATAGTTCAGTTTTTTTTTTTTTTAATGCTGAAACAGATTTAACGTCTCATTTCGAATTCGTCTCATAACGAACTATTATTTATTTATTTTTAGTGAATTGTTATTTGTTAAAGAAAATAAAAATTTGTTTTAAAAATATTTCAAATGGTTTTTCACTGAAAAATGGTTCACAATGTGTTCTCAACCAATATCTTCCTTTTATGACACGCATAACATCCAATAATCGTATGTTATCCTTGAATTTATGTAACAACCATTTTGTCACTATTTGCTAGGCTTCCTTAGTCATAGTTATCTGACTTTACGAAGGTTGCTCGATAGATCGGTTATTATGCAATCATTTTCGAGTTTCACGAGTCTAACAAGTAATATGATAAATTTTATTTTGTATTTTTTATACTTTCTTTGTTTAAATTATTAAATCAATTATATCATTAGCAAGATGTATCAAAATTATGTTAGTACAATAAAAAAATAATTCACGTTTGTTCATCGATATTTGTCTTTAATAAATCAACGAATTATACAATACGAAATTATAAATCATTGCATCTTTCTTTTTTTCTTTGTAAAAAAATCTCACACAGATGACAAAAAATTATTTTCTCCATTTTACGTAACGTGTTGTTAACAAAATGTAAAAAAAAAAAAAAAAAAATAACACCATAAACAACATCAGTAATTTGCACATTTCATATTTTTTTTTCTTTCCTAAAAACCAACAAGTCAAAATACAAATTTGTATGGTTTACAACTTAAACTTAATTTCTCTTGAGAATTAAAAAAAAAAAAAAAAACTTTCAACTACGTTAAAGTTCGAGGGTGAACCCCATCCCTCCTAAACTACTCTAAACCCCCTCTCATTCGTATATAATCGATAGAACTTTGGCGCCGATAAACGATTTTCTAAAGTAGCACAACGAATGGAAAATTTAAGAAGATAGAAAGAGATGAAAAATAGGAATCAAAGTGAAGGAAGGGGGGGATGGAGGAGGAAGGGGGAGGGGTGCAATGCACTCGAGTTAAAATGTTGGATCCGCACCCCCTCCTCCCCCCCCCCCACCTCTTTCTAGACACTCGCAAATGACGTTGTTGATGGATCTGGTCTATGAAAGAGAAAGAGAGAAAGAAAGGCATGGGAAAGAGAGAGAAAGGAAGAGAGAAAGTTAGGTATGGGGATGGTGAAAAGAGTGGGGGATTGCACGGGTGGTGATTGATGAGCCCTACGGACCAACAAAATCACCCTATGGCATAGTCGCGATCTTTCTTCCCATTTCTTTTTCTATCTTTCTCTTTCTTTTTCATTCTCATACTTTCATCGTGCTGACCTCGTTCGAATGAATCGTCTTTTCTTATCTTTCTTATCCTTTTTCTTTCTATCTCTCTCTCTCTCTCTCTCTCTCTCTCTCTCTCTCTTTCATTTTTCTTTTCTTCCTGCCGACTTTTCTCCACCTTACTCTCAGTGAGATATTTTCTATTTTCTTGTTCTCCTTAGTGTAGTCCTTCTAACTCTGCTTTCGAGAAGATTGTTAAATGTTTTGCATCATTTATGAATGGTTGAATTTTTATGGGTATTTTCTGTATCATTCTATTTCTTATTTATGGTGTTATCCTCCCACATATTTATTAACTAATTGATAAGTTCTATGATTTGATCTTTAAGTGTTTTTTTTTCTTTTTTTTTTTTTAATGTTTTGCATCATTTATGAGAGTTAGAATTTTTTATGGGTATTTTGTGTATCTTTCTATATCTTTCTTTTTTTTTTTTATTCATGGTGTTATCCTCCCACATATTTATTTAATAATTGACAATGTCTGAGATTTGATCTTTAAGTGTTTTTTTTTTTTTTTTTAATGTTTTGCTTCATTTATGAGAGTTAGAATTTTGATGAGTATTTTGTGTATCTTTCTATTTCATTCTTTTTTCTTTTATTTATGGTGTTAATTCATCCCTCCTTATATTTATTTATTAATTGATACTTCCTACGATTTGATCTTTAAGATTTTTTTCTATTTTTTTTTGTTTTTGTTTTCTTTTTCAATTTTTATATTTTATATTTTATTGAACATTTTATCGTTTAAGTTTGTATTACGTAAATTGTTAATATCGTCATCAATATCAAAACTATTCCCCCCGTCGCCTTCCTACCCCGTTTTATTTCCGATTGAGAAAAATATCGTTTCCCCTTCGATATTCCCGATTCCTTCCCTACTTTTAACCCCCATCCACAGGGTTTCTTTTAAAAGAATACAATAAAGAAATAAAACGAATTTTTAAACTATAGTTACTATAGCAGATTGGCAGATTTAAAGATTTATAGAAAATTTTTCATTCTAGAGTGARAATGAAAATGAAAAAAGGGAGCATGGTAGAAATAGAAAAATGTTTTCTATCCCCCCCCAACCACTCGTACTCCCATCATCCCGTAGGAATCATACGTGATAGATACAAATACGTGAGACGAATTGTCAAATGGTTTATGTGATAGAACGAATGATGATGATTCGATTAAATTTTAATAAGAAGTTTATTTTTTTTAAAATAGAAATAAGAAATAAAATATAAATAAAAGTAAAAAATAAAAATTGTTCCTTGGGTATATATAGAAATTTTTGATAATAATAATAATTTATACAGTATACAGTATATTTCAAAAATAATCTATTTTAATTAATCAAATCAATAATTAATTATTATGTAATATAATATATATTGTATATATTTTCTATTTTCTATATATTATACATTTTTCTATTTTATATATGTTATATAATAATATATATTACATATATTAATTAATTTTTTATTATATATATATATATATATTGTTTTATATATTATTACGATTAAATAAGTAACATATATAATAATAATATTATTATATATATTAATTTATATTTATATTATATAATTATATTACATTTACATTAAATTAATATTATTTATTATATAATAATTATTATATAATAATAATATTATTAAAATTATTATTAATATATATAATATTTAATATTAATTAAATAAAATATATAAATATTATAAAATTTCAAATAAGTTCGCATGGCTCAGTGAGACAAATCACCATCCACTAATCTAGTAATCGTATGTTACCGAGTTCAAATCCCGGGGGAAAAAAAAAAATTAAACCATATACTTAGCAAGAAATTCGGCAACACTTGTATAAAATTATAATATTTATATATATAATATTTAACATATATTATAATATTAAATATTATTAATATATTATATTTAATTATTAATTTATTATTATTATTAATAATTATAAATAAATTAATAATATTATTAAATATAAGATATATAATAATAATTATTATATATATATATATATATATAAGTATATATAAAGTAATATATATAATATTACTTTCGTAATATTGATAGGAAAAAATAGGCAAAAAGAATTACATAGTTTTCATATCATATATTATATGAAAAAATAATTAACAAACAAAAAAATGTTACAAAAAAATTGTTTAGACCGCAATAATGTTGATTGTGATAAAGATAACACGATAAAGAATTATTTTTCGTAATAAGAAGATAATAAGTCGAGCAAAATGGTAAAGAACATAATTCGATATAAACGTAATAAAAGTTTTTCGGGAAGAAAAATTGGGAATAATAGTCTCACGAAGTTATTGCCAACGAAGACAGAAACAAAAAGAAGAGAAAAAGATTAGGGAAAAGGGGGTTGGTATCGTCAAAAAAAGAAAAGGGGGTTTGTATCGTCAGAAAAAGAAACGAAAAGATGTATAGTTGTGGGAGCAAGAGGAGAGGAGAGGAGGAGGAGGTGGGTTAAAAGAAGAAAATATAATTAAAGGCGTCGGAGTTTAAGTTCAGGTGGCATTGGTACGATCTAAAAAAAAAAAGAAGAATTCAAGAAAAGGAGAAGAAAAAAAGAAAAAAAAAACACAACACTTGTTCACGTTCGAAAAAAGAAACTCGAATAAAAGTGAAAGAAAAAGATGATGGTGGTGTTGGTGGTGATGTTGCAAACCCACCACCACCCTAACGGTTAAGGGTGGATTGGATTTGTCGGGTGTAAAAGCAGAAAGGTGAAACGAGGAATAGCGAGGTGAGTGAAGAACGAAAAAGATTTGACGATAAAGAAACGGTTAATTGGCCCTACGATCGAACGAGGAAGACCTGGGAGTCCTTTCATTTCCGTTTACGCTTCGATCGGTTGCTTTCCGTCTGGTTTTAGTGAAAAACAAAAAAAAGGTTCCCAATCGATCACGAATGAAAAGGTTAAAGGTAGGGATGATTTTTTAAGAGTGAAATAAGAGATAATTAGGGGAACACGTTAACGAAACGAGTGCGAGACGTTTCTTTGAAAATATTTTTTGTTTTGGCGGGGGGAGGGGAAGGGTTTGTAATTATATTATGTTCGATTGAAAAGTATCGACTAAGGTAAGATTGAAAAGATTGACTAAGGTAAGCATTATATATTTAAATTATTATATTATTTATTATATATTATTTTATTATTTATATATAGTAATATTATTTATTATATATTATATTGGATTTTGGCAACTAAATCATTACTAATTTAAAAAAGCCACCTATCGACAAAATCCGCAATCACTTACTTCCCAATCCAATATGGATTCCCCATCGTACACGTTTTCTAACCAAAAAAAAAATACAATCCTTCTAAAGTTGACTTTAAATTTGATTTTAAAGATTGCTACAAACATTTTCATTTGCAACAATTTGAATATAATTGAAAAAGAAACAAAAACAAGAAAAGAAATTTCAACGAATTAACCAAGTTCTCGCTTTTATTCGCACCTGCTGCCAAATTCGAAGATGTCATCGAACAAATGAGAGAAAGAGAGACATACATTGTGATGGATAAAGAAGAGAAATTTTAATTAGACAAAGAGATTCACCGTAGAAAGGTCAGAAATCGTTGAGAA